GTGTGAGCTTCAACTTCAAATTCATTCTCAGTATCGTGGTCCGACTTAACTAGAGGGTCGTCCAGGGGACGTCTCTCTTCAGGAGCCGTTACAAACGTGGATGCCATCTCAGAAGTACTCTCCCCACAGACGGCGCCAAAATGTTTCGGGGTTTTCTGATGTCCTGCGGGAGAGTTACAATTCCGAGACTGGAACCGGACGCCTGTACCTGCAAAACAAACGGATGCTCCGGATGATTGGAGATCCGCCTCCGACGGTCAAGTTAGTACTTGATTAAGGAGTAATTAATGCGGAAATTAAAGTGATTGGGTCTCTCTAGGTGAGAGTGGTTAATGTGTGTAATCTGCGTTTTTAGCGTTTTTTGCGTTATCTCCAGGTTTAGGTTAACCTTGGGCTGATTGGGCTTCCCTCGGAAGTTGGGCCTAGGTGACCGGTTATCCCAGGTGTCATGGGAAGGACACGTGTCGTGTCGTAATTGGTCCATAGTGGACGGATCATTGCTTGACACGTGGCAGGCTCCTATTGGCCCATGTGACGGACACATGGCGGAACCTGATTGGTCCACTTGTCAGATGGTGATTGGTGGGGAAAAATCCCCTAATCAATTAGGATTAACCCTAAACCTGTTTAATCTATGTTGGTTGAATATTAATGCACAAATAAACAATTATTGGCGATCACTTGAATTTATAATCACAATTAACCTAACAAGATTATTAATTATCTTATTAAGCGTGATTACAAGTACAAATTCCCTTTAACATGCATAAAAGGTGTGATCAAGCAATAACAATAATATAAAATAATATGCATATCAAGCAACATAATAAATAATCAATATCATTATTAATAATAATATCAATCATAATTAATAATAATCATGTTAAAGCGTAGCAAGATCCTAGGCATGATACTAACAAGATTAATAACAAACCCTATCATGTCACTAAACAATAAAAATCAAATCTTTAGCCCTAACATGATACTAACATGAATTAATATTAGGAAGAGAATAGGAAGTATCATACTCTTAATCATACTTGATATTAAATTTACCCTAGGAATACTAGGAATTATAATAACAATCTAAACATGATTTCTACATCATAACATTAATTAAACCATTAAAGTACTTACTTGGATGCCTCGTACCTCTTTCTAATAACAAAATACACGCGTTAGTAACTTCAAGGAAAATAATAAACAAAACAATTAAATTAAATAATTAAAATAGAGATTTGGGACCAAACCCTCAGAAATTAAAACCTTTCACGTCTAGGGCAAAGGCAACTTCGAATATGGCTAAGTGTATCAAGATCTTGTGAATGCGGAATTTTGTATTAAAAAGCAAGAAAGAGTTGAAGAAAAGAATTCTAAAGAATGAATATTATTGATGAATTGAAGATGAATGAATGAATGAAAAGAATGAAAGAGTTGATGATAGATGATGCTTCTTGATGAATTTTGATGAATGGTTGATGCTTGTTGATGAATGAAAACAGAGTTTTAGATACGATATTTATAGAGAAAATCATCCAAAAAAAAGATAATTTAACAAAATAGAGTCTGAAGATCGAAAAACAACCTTGGCGCCAGCCTTGGCTAGTTGGCGCCAGCTCCAGTGGCTAGCGCCTAGCGCCAATCCTGGTTCCAGGTGCCAAGGCCTGGGGTTGGACGCCAAAGCGGTTTTCAACACGTTTTCGAAAATATGATAAATTTCCCGTACTGGAAGATAAAATAATATAATTCCCATCGAAAATGCTATTTGATCTTGATTAAAACTCTGAAGAGTCCTAATTGAATCAGGAATGATAAAGACCTTCTAGAATATTCTAAAATACTAAAACCATTCCTAATTGCATTAGGAATGATAAATTATATTAGGCCCTCTCCTAGATCATTAGGCCGTACTTAAAGCTCAAACCGGGCCCAGTTTAGTAAATTGGCCATAACTTCCTCAATATTCATCGGAATTGGGCTTATAATATATCGTTGGAAAGGTATTTGCAAGCCTCATCCAACTACACCACTATTGGACCCATGTCATGGACCAACCAAACTGGATTGGCTGTTTTCTTAAAATAAAGTTTTCAAAAACAGGGAGATGAGAAAAAGAAATAAAACTTTCTGCTACACTAGACCTTTCCACACTTTCGTTTCATTCGATTATGATTCGACGTGAAAGGCACTCATCACCGAGTTTGGCTTTGGGGAGACACAAATGGGTGTCTACATTATGATTCACAAAGGAATCAAAATCATTCCATAGAGAATTTCTAATGAGTTTTCTTAAAAAAAAAATTTAAATAATTTCTAATGAGTTGAGTTTGGTTGCAAACCACTTGATGTTCGATTCGTTTAAAGTTTGGTTTGAGTACAAATTTTTACCTACACCCCATGCCATGGAACACTACATGCACCCCTATCCACGCACACATCCTTCGCGCGTGACTAAATGTTTATTTTTATTACAAGGAGTTTTTTTTGTTAAAATTAATATTTTATTATTATATTTTTAAAATTTTCGATATATAAAAATGGAGCAATTAATAATTGCATTCAAATCATTTTTATTATAAGAAGTATTGCATCATTAAATGTTCATTTGTTTTATTCATGTTTCAACAAATGTTCATTTTTGTATCATCAAATAATGTTCATTTCAAGCGTTATGTGTAAGTATTATAGTAAGATGTATGTATGCAAAAACATACGTCTTAAAATTCTGTTTATTAAATACAACGTTGTTAACAATATGAATTTTATTTAATTTTGTTTTATAAATATGAAAGTGAACCGTTAAATCTTATAGTACATATACGTGTTCATTATTCTCTTTACGTTAAATAACATATATGTTCATATTTTTTTTTTTTTTTTTTTTGAGAAAAACATATATGTTCATTTGAAATTTAATACTTGTTCATTATCCTATATATTGAAAGATGTTCATTAATGTTAAATAATAGTAATTTATCACATCAAAAGTTGTTTTCTTGATTTAAACACTAGCACTTGTTCATTACCAATGTTGAATATTGTTCAATTTAAATTTAATTTGTTTGTCATTATATTGAAAAATGTTTATTTGACTAATAATACTTGTTCATTTTCATATTCAGAGATGTTCATTTAGATTTTGATAGTTGTTCATTATCATATTGAGCTATGTTCATTTTCAACAATGTGTTCATATTTGTATTTGTAAATGCTCATTCAATTATCCAGTTTTGTTTATAGTGTTTGACTTTGCAAATAATTATTTTTTACAAAAATGTAATCGTTCACTACATAAATCAACCAAATAAGAAATGTGAAAACGACGATGTACATAATGAGAAAAGATGTGTATCAAGAAAACCACACAAAAATCATAAGTCTATATATAAATTTAAGGGTATAAATGTAAAACAAGTAGAATGATTTTACATATCAAAATGTAATAGAAAATGTTCATTTAACAAGAGACTTATATTTGTTTCATCCTCCATATGTATATTTTTAATTCATTCTCTATATGTATATTTTTGCATACTTTTTATCAATTGAGAATTCACTAATATTAGATTCATTCGCTATATGTATATTTTTGCAAAATCTCTATATATATCAAACATATTTCAAGGTTTTTCTGAAAATAGTTGCATTTATATGCAATGGATTCATTAATGTTTTTAGTCGACTTCTACAATTAAATATTCAATTCTCCTTTTGTTGCCTTAGAGGATGATGGAGCAAGGTATTTACGTGTTGTCTAAATTACTTTTTTTTATTAAAAGATTTAAAACGTGATATTAATATTAATATAGATTATATCATTTTAGTGTCAATGCAATTGATACCGGGGACATCCATAGTGATTTTGATTAATTAGATAATTGATTTTTATTCTAGTAAATGTATCTATTTTTTAGTTATTCGTTTTTAGTTGAATCTAATTGTTGACACTAAAATATATCATTTTAGGTATTATTAAAATATATTAGAGTTACCGTATTAATTATATAAATATATAAAATATTTATTTACGCCGAAATAATTATATGATTTGAACGTACGATTTATCATCATTCTTTTTAAGTAAAATGATTTATCGTAATTGTGTTTACAAATTTGTTTGATATACCATTGATCAATATTTAGATGAGGGGAATCACTATTTATTTGTTCATTTGTTGATTTTCAATTTGATTTGACTACTTAATTATTGCGGTACAATATTATGTGATTTTGCCATTTTAGCTTGTTTTTGTCTTTTAGATGGATTTGTCAAACTATTTAGATGAATTTGTCACACAGAAACACAGTTGTCACAGTTTTTGTGATAAAATAACTCTTTGCACTGGCACTTGTCCAAATCTGAAAATAAAACCCAAATTATTAATTATAATAATCAAAACATAAAATTGAATAATAAAAATAAAATAGAAAAAGTTACCAAATCAATGTCAGGTGCCTTAAATTTCAGTAACTGTATTATAAATACAGTTAATCTCACGTCGAGTACAATTAAAGTGATAACAACGTTTAGACGATTGATGTCGTATTCGGTTGAATTCACATCCAGAAGCCCCCCAACAAAAGTCACAAGAATGATAAGCTCAGTCCATATAACAGTGAAAAAGACTGATAAGCCCAGTCCACACAACAGTGAAAAGATTGACAAGCCCAGTATGCACAAAAGTGAAAAGACTGAAAAGTCCAGAATGCACAGAGTATATGAATTGGAACAGAGGATATGAAATCAATAAAATATGATTAATGGTGGGTCTCTAGGTGAAAGAAATGTATTAAATATTGTATAAGCTTTCCTAATAATGAAATGAAACAAGTATTTAAAAACAACCGAATATAAAAGGAAAATTTACAAATTGCATCAATTTAAAGTTTGTATCATGCAAATTGCAGCCATTTAAATCTTTTTTGCAAATTACAGCTGATTTAACTTATTTATCGATTTACGTGTCGAGAAATATTCAATTTAAGGTTCTAAGAGTCATTTTATTTCTTAAGAACCTTATTGAGGTCGGAATTATAAAAAAATACTCCGTAATATAAATACCTCGTGAAAGTTTGAAGTAATAAAAATGTATCAATTTGTGGGTAAAGTAAAAAAAAAGAAGAAGAGACGAGGCATTGAGCACTCCCGCCACATCAAAGAAACAGCACAACCCCTTAACCTCCCTTTCCCAACACGTGCCCTTTTCTCTCCCTCTCTTTCTCTCTCGTCATATTTACATTTCCACACTTTTCAATTTTTCTCCCTTTTCCTCTTTCACCAATCCCCTACATTTCTCTACTTTCTCTCTCCTCTTCAACCCTCCGATTTTCCATTTCGTTTTTTCATTTTTCATTTTTCCCTTTTTTTTTTTCTTCTTCTACTTTGGATCGTATTAGATTTTCCCAGGTACATTGATTTTTCCTTAATTTTCTCTCCCTTTTCTGCTAGATTTTTTAGGGTTTTAATCGAAATGGGAAATTTTTTTGGTGGTTAGGTGGGAGGTTAGATTCTTTCTTCTTTATCATTGTAATTTTCCGATTCAATTTGATTCCGATTCGGGAAATTTCATTCTAGTTGTAGTATTACTGTTTAGTAATTTGGAAGCTAACCCTAGTTTTAATTCAATTAGGTTTTTTGATATTATCCCCAATTCATACTTGAAAAATTCAAAAAAATTAAAAATTAAAATAAAAAAAAGTAGAAATTGCCTGTTTTTGTTTATCATCTTGCTTATTTTGTATAGAAGAATTCACATCTATCGTTTTACTTTGTGTTTTTAGGGTTTTGTTTTGTTTATTATTCTATGTATAGCCAGCTGTTGTCTATACAAGAAACTCCGTGATATTTTTGGTGCAGTTTTTTTTGGTTTGCTATCTGAAAATTGAGGGTTTTCTTGTTCAATTTTTCCACTAATTAGGGTTTATTTCCATAATTGCATTATTGCGTTTTTCTTTCCTTTTTCCCTTTAATTTCGTTTTGTTGTTCTTGGTATAAATTATGCAAATAAGAAAATAGAAGAGAAATCTAGGGTTTTTAAGTTGAAGGGGTTGATTGGTAGGGGAGAGAATCTGTTGTTTTGTGGGATAATCTAGTTGAAGGATAGGATGGCTTTGAACTTTTCACATCGGCCGATCTTTCCAGCTCATCTTGCTGAGGAAAATATAGGTCAGGGTGGTTCACAGGACAAGGACATTCGTGAATTGTTGCCTGCTGATCCTTTTGGGATGGATATAAGCTCCACGGTTACTGCCATCACGGGGTGGCTTGAGGATCTAGGAGCTGATTACGGTGGTTATGGCGGGGCCGAGGGTGGTAGTTGTAAAGGGGATTACCCTCTTTTTGCCGGATGGAATTTTTGGTGGAATTCGGCGGCTATGGAATTCCAGACGTTTCCTGAAAAAGATACATGGGCTGATAGCTTTTTCCCGGAGCAGGGATTACAAAGGCGGTCGGACTATGAAGGCAATGCTGGCATTGCTTGTACCAGTACCTTGGATGGTGCTAAGTTTGGTACTACTGATGATGCTAGTTTTGACAGGTTTGATAATCATTGGAAGATTACCGCAGTTGATGGGTATCTTCCAAAGGCGTATGATCAAGGTGTCCATTTTGCTTGTACCTTGGACTGTGTTAAGTTTGGTGCTGCTAATGATGGCAAGGGTGATTTTAATCATGGGAAGGGTACTGAGGCAGTTGCTGATATATCTGAGGCTCCTTGTACCTTAAAGGTTGCTAAGTTTGGTACTATTGATAATGCTAGCTTTGAGGGTGCTAAGTTTGGTACTACTGGTGATGCTAGCTTTGACAGGATTGATAACCACTGGAAGATTACCGGGGTTGATGGGTATCTTCCGAATGGGGAATTAGAGCATCTGGTGTATAATCAAGGTGTTATTTTTGGTTGTACCTTGGATCGTGTTAAGTTTGATAGCTTTGACAGGGTTGATGATAATTATGTGCAGAGTACTGAGACGGCTGCTGATATTGGTGATATATCTGAAGCTCCTTGTACCTTGGAGGATTCTAAGTTGGGTACATCTAATGATATCTTGGACCGAGATGATGATAATCATGGGAACAGTACTGAGGCAACCTTTGATACTGATGATATTTCTGAGGCTCCTCATCCAGCCTTGAGCTATGCTCTTGCCTATCTGGGTGTGCGTGATCTGCTCTCTGTTGAAAGAGTATGCAAGTCATTGTGCCACACAGTTCGAAATGACCCCCTTCTTTGGAGAAGTATTCATATTGATGGTCCACTCAATGAGAAGATCACTGATGACATTCTTCTGCAATTAACCCACAGGGCTCAAGGTAGCCTTCACTGCTTGAACCTAGTGAACTGCCAACGGATCTCAGATGATGGTTTGATGCGTGTCCTCCTTAGCAACCTGAGGTTGATCAAGGTAAGCACTATGCTAATATACATGTTTTTTTTTCTTGCATTCTCTTATTGTTCTTGCAGTCTGGTAATGCTTGTTAACACTTCTATGGCTCCCTGTTTTGACTGTAAAGATAGTGGAATAAAAACCTTATACTGAATCTAATATGAGTGATTTAGAATATATAAGATCAAGTGAAACGTTATAGGGTTATCTTTGAATGCTGGGACTTGAATGCTGGGACTCTGATTCTCATATTTTGATTCCTCATTGTGGGAGATATAGATTGCTTGATTATGGATTGTGATCTCCCCATGGAGTAAGATAGGTGTGTAAATGAGCCGAGCCTAGCCGAGTATTAGCTTGTTCATGTTCAAGTTCATTTAACTTAGGCGAGTATCCAAGTTAATAATCCTGTCAGAATTACTCTTTTTTTGCTTCGCATCTAATTATAGTGACCTATCTTTTATAATTTTGGTGCTAGTAGAAGAGAGATGAGGGATTGACAAGAGAAACTACTACTATAAGAAGCAAATTATGCCTGTGTATCCAAAGATCAATGTCCATTGTCTTCCATTTCTTCCTCTGTGTTCTTCCCACCGTTCCTTACTTAGATTATTTCCACCCCTCCTCCCCTTGTTTCCAAAAGGTTTTTTTCTTCATAAATTCTCAAGTTGTCAAAGAAGCCATATAAATCAATAGAGTTGATGTGTGCTATTTTTGGGCACCCTCTTGACTAGGTGATAATCACCATTGTGGGTATTATCATATTAAGGAGGAAGGAGACACTTGTAGGTTGTAACTGATTTATGGCATTGGCTATGTTCATTTTGTGTAGACAAAAATGGTTTCTTGAATGTGTGTGTTTGACTCTTATGATATCCTATAGTGCATCATGAATTGCTATGTGAACAAGGATTTTTGGGAAAATTATTCATCATCATTCGCCAGGATTTGTTTTTTAAAAGAATGATTGGAGCCTTTGAGGTGATGTACAAGTGTTTTTGTTGAAGGGAGGGCAATATGAGGCAAAGTGGCTTTATGGGTTCTCTAAGGGCAGCCATTTAATAATGTAATTCTGTCGAGAACATAATCAACACTGTTGATATAACAGTTTTCTAGCTTTTATGCTGCGCATTTAGATAATTTGTAACTTACCTTGATTTCCTGCTCAATATCATTCTATGAATTATTCTGTTGTTCGTATGTATCTTCATTATATCAGAATTAATTGAAGTTGAAATTAAATAGCTTGACTGTTATTTGTGTTTCATTGCTAAACATTTTTTCCTTTTTTTACAGTTGGGTGTTCCAGGATGTACAAGACTAAGTAATGATGGTGTAGTGAATTGCTTAAGGGCTTTCAAAACAGTGGCTGTCAATGGGATAAAATATCTCCGATTTGGTGGGCGTCTTGGTGTGACGCAGAAGCACTTTGAAGAGCTGATGTCATTATTAGACATTCATAATCAAGTACAAAATAATCGTCCCAAGCCACACTTCTATCACAGAGGAAACTTTTATATTTCTTATGAAGATGATCGCCCCATTGACTTAGAGTTGTGTCCAAGGTGCCAAAATATGAGGCTGGTCTATGATTGCCCTGCTGATGGCTGTCAAGGCAAAAACCATGCCGCTGAGCTGTGCCGGGCTTGCACCCTCTGTATAGCACGGTGTTATGAGTGTGGGAAGTGTATAAATGATGATTGTGTGTATGAGGAGACCTTTAGTCTTGACTCACTTTGCGCTGATTGTTGGAACCAAGTACCGCATTGTCCTGAGAGGCCAGATGTGGGGGTCAGCCCTCTTCAGCATGTCATTGATCAGGAGCCATCTGCTTCATTTCATGGCTAGGAGTATATTGGGTATGTGTATCGTGGTTTTTTTTTGTGTTGGTGGTTTTTTTGCTTGGAGTTCTATGACCAAAGGCTAGCATTTTTGATGTAGTACATAATGAAGGCTTTCAGTAAGTAAACTTTAATTGTACAGATTTTGGTCTGCCTCGTACATTGCTGTTGTCATCATGATGGACGCTGATCTTGCTTGGGTTGCATGTGGATCCTTATTGTTTCTGGATGAACTCTGCAGTTCAAGTTTTTCCGAGTTATGGAGCTGCTGTTGTATCATACTCCTATATGCAGTAAAAAGAAAATTTTAAAAATTTGTTGACATTTCACTATCTTGTTGGTGGTTCTCTTGGTGGTTGACATTGATTTGCTTTGCTGTTGCTGCTGAAAGTACGACATTCGGTTGGCCTGGAAGCAGATATCACCACACAAGGCTAGAAATTGATGTGTGATAGAGGGGGGGGGGGTATTGATTGGCCTCCCTAAGTAGTTACCTCAATACTACATAGTTATGATCTCATTTAATTTGCTTTATTGTAGCTGGTTAAAGAAAAAGGCAGTTCAGTGTACTTGGTACACGCTAGATTGATTGTGCTGAGATGGAAGGTCGATGACATCTCTGTTGTTGCTGGAGATACTTTCCTTAAGATGAAACTTTTAAGGAACAGTCAGTTGCCTTTCCACATGACAGTTAGGCTGTTTGTTGATGCTTTAAAGCAGTTCAGATGCTGATACTGTCTAGAGATGTATCAAAGTGGCTGATGTCGCAGGGCTCCTACCCTAGCCTCCATTTCATGCGTGCTCTTCTTGTCTATGCCATTATCAGAGCACTGTATTGCTATGCTTCTCTCCGCTCGTGTCAGGTACTCCAGGCTGATTGACTTTTGTTTGTAATAATAAGCCAAAAACTCAAGATTTATATTGTCATGAATAATTTTGTCTTGCTCAGACTTGAGGGCAGGAACCCACATACATTAGTTCTTTTTTTTTTTTGGCCGAGTGTTGTGGGTTTGAAATCTCAAAGTCTGATCAATTATGGTATGTATATGTGGATAATTGTATCTTATCCTGTACTAGCTGTACTTCCCTGGCCGAGTTTGCTGGGTAAAACATTGATCATTTGGTTGTTTATGAAAATAAATATTTAAATATTTTGGATTTTAGTTTCTGAGAAATGATTTTGGCACACCAAAACTCGATTTTGGTTCATCCGTTGAGTCTTAGTATGCTAGATTCAAGTATTCAGTTTTTCATCCTTTAGCTAGTCAATATAATCAGCTGCAAGTCCCTTTGGTTTTGAACTTTTGATAGTCGCCTAAATATTGACTATCAAAATTGACCTTTGAATGTTCGATTGCTGGTACAGGAAGTCTATATAAAATATCAATTTTTTTTTGTATGTTTGTTAATTGTAGTTAACTGCAAACTTGTAAAGTTCATTTTATGATCTCACTCTGTTTTCAAGTATAGAAATAATAATCATGTAACTACTTCGTAGAAGATTTTGAAAATGTCAAAGTTCATAGTATATTTATTGCCGCGTTTTGAAATAACAAATTAATTTCTCTATTTTGTTTGTCCTAATTTCCGATTTAGCGTGCCAAAAGGGACATAATATTGTGAATTTGTAATGTTTGTAAATTTGTAGACCGTAGAATAAATTATAATGTATAAATGTATACCAATATTAATTTGACTTAATACGGAGTAATTTTATATTTGTTTTTTTTTAAAAAAAAACTTCAATAAAATTCCATATATTCTGGACACCTAGTTGGCACTTGGCAATGCATTGGGGATAAGGGGTGGGGAATAGGTCATGGCAAGGCTCGCACCTTGAGGATACAAAGCGACCTGTGGACCACTGCACCGGGGTATAAAAATTATATATTGTGATATCAAAATATCTAATTTTTATAGATATATAAATTTGCAATGCACAATTTTACTCCTCTATATCTTCATTATAGGTATGTAAAAAAAAAAATAGATATTGTGAAAAAAATCATTTAAGACGGTTCTAACGAAATCTCACATGACAATAATTTGTCAAGATATAAATCAATAAATAAGGCAAGTGTAAGAATGTAATTAGTGTAAATTTTATAGTGTTGTAAGTAAAAATGAATCGGAAGTAGTAAAACTATGGTTTGGTTGACATTCAGTTAAAGGTGAGATTCTATATTTCTAAATTCTAAGTTCTAACCTAATTATCTATGTTTGTTGGCGTAAGAGGAAGGACAAAACCAATTGGAAAGGTTTAGCTTGTACGTTTTTCTTGCCTTGATGCTCTTGAATTCCAAGGTATCAAGATTGTACAGCTTCAATTCACATGCATCTAAATTAATACGGAGTATCAAAATTAAGACTCTTAAATACAAGAATATATCAAAAATTTATAAATTTATTAATTTTTTTAATTATTATATTTACAGTATTAAATTGAAAGGGGAGAACACTACTTTATCTTTATACTCCTTTCACACCACATAATGTTTTTGAACTATCTTCTATTAGCAATTAGCCAATTATAAAAGGGGTCTTAACACTATTAAATAAGAGGTAGCCCCAGGTAATCTCTGGGATAAACAAAATTTGTTAATCACATTTTGGTAATTAAATTAACAACTTTATCCTGTCATCGTCACGTTGGGACCGCTTTTATCAAAAAAGTTGTTGATTTATTTACAAAATTGTCATGTGATAAACAAATTTTGTGTATCTAAGAATTGTCTATGAATCCTTTAAATGAATCTTATTTTAACAAAGTGTATAGAAACTCAAAATTAATACGAGGTTAAAAAGCGAACAAGATTTAACCCATTATAAAGGCAAAGCAAACTTGTTAATGAGATAAACGAAAAAACGAGAACGTATTATTAATTTAGTACAGTAAGATTAATGTACAAAACATGGGATTATGCAAAAATTACTGCCCAAAACATAGTCAAGATGGCATGATTATGAGCTACTTCTGAGGTTTTTTGCCAAATATTTTCAAGATTTTTTCTTGCAGTCTCTTCCTACCAGATTTGCTGTCATCTTTCTTCTTGTTATCTTCCTTCCACGAAGACGATGGCGGGTCTGGGTTGCTGTCCCATTGATCAGCCCAGGATGGTCCAGAATCCATCTTCCCTCGTCTCCTTTCTTTGTTTTTGGAAAAATCTTCTTTGATTTTAGGATTAAGAACTAGATTTCATCTGACCAAATTTAGGTGATGCAGTTTAACCTTTATTATGCAGCTATAAATTGCATGATTCTGTCTATACAAATCTTTGATTAGCTGGTAGATTCTCTGCATCAATAAGATTATTTTTAAAAGAGGATTTGTTATTTATAGACTTCTGTCTAATCTTATCTCATACTACAATTTTGACCAGGTCCTGTTTTACAAGCCATATGTTTTAGAGTAGATAATCTGATATTTCCACAAGAATTGGCAATTACAATTGTACACAGTTTAGTTGCCTAAGGGGTTGTTTAAATCGATTTAGTTTAGGTCCTATTTAGGTACTTAGTCATCTGGTATGATTTCAGGTTTGATCGAATGATCGGGTCAAATTCAGGTTGGTTCAAATTTGGGTCTACCTGTAAATTTAACAAAATTATGATGCTCAAGAGTTCAGTTCCATATCAGGTGCAGGCTAAACTTTGAACATGATTTCTATAGATATACTTTAAATTGAAGAGAATACAAATTTGCACCAAAAGCTTGTAATTGGAAAATATAACCCATGGTGGAATTATCAAATTGTTATCTTAATTGGAGATCTATTGTGTAAAGAATTCGACATGACCTGCTATCTCCTTGCACAACAGTTTGGCCCCGGCTGCTAAACTAATGCTCTTGCTAATCACCAGACCAGTTTGTTTGTGAACGGGTGCAGGTTTATAGTAGTTTGCTGCTTCTTCCCCACCTACCAATAAAGCTTCTCTTGCAGGAATTACATTTTCCCACCAAAACTCGCGCAGAATTCCATGTATAAGCTCCCAATATCCTCGTTCTCTGCATACTCTGAATATTGTGCTCCCATTTGGGGTCCAACAATACAGATCCACCCATTCTCGATCCATTATCTCCATTTGACCTTGGATTTGGGGCATGTAATAGAAAGGCATTGTTGACCAAGGCAATGCCAAGTCAGGCTTCCCTTTGTTATATGGACATTTCACTTCAAGGATACCTGCCTCGGGAGTGCAGCTAAGAAGGCCATCAGGAGAAGCGCCCATCCAATCAAATCTTCGCTCAGAATGAATTGCAAAGCCCATGTAACCAACATCATGCCCAGTAATGCTTTTATACCTCTCAATAGCGGGTGCTTCATTGAGAACACCCCACTCCATGGCCCGCTTTGCAGAATCTGCTACAGTTGTGGCATCGGAAGCAAAAACCTTCTCACTCCAGAGCTCAGCTCGGCGGGTCCCCTTCCAGAAACCCAAAGCAGTGCTGAAGGTGCTAGTAGTTAGCCTGTCCTTGCGGAGCGCAAACCACTCTTCAGAACGCTGTGTTGTATCAGATGCGGAGATTTGAGCAGTCAACGCTTGGGAGTTTCTGATGATGAAAGGATTAGAAGGAACAACAACCAATGGACTACAGGTAGAGAAGCTTCTAAATAGTTCAAGAACAACACTTCCTCTTGAGGGCAGCGGAATGGCAGCAGTGTGAGAGATGCTGCAGAATCTTGACATGTAGGCATTGTTCATTGTTGGAAGTGTCAGGCACTCAATAGCAATTGCCCTGAAATTAAATTGACACACCATTTTGATGGTTCAGTTCTACTTCAAAGTAACATGATAAGGAGTAATAACATATGGACATTGGTTCTGACTTCGAATCTCAGCCTCTACCTAGAATTTGAAAATAAATTGAAAATGTTAGAACAAAGTCCAAAAACTCTTGCATTTTTGTTTAGCCTTTTGGTGACTATGTTGTTTTACTGGGTAAAGCACAACAAGTCAACCAACTGATGGCCTAAAGTTCAGCACCAAAGTAGAGTACAGGGGAAAATGAAAAAAAACATGAGCAGCAAATATACTAACAACACATTCATAAATTTCAGGATACTAATAATTGATATAAGTATACAGGAATTCATTCATAGCTAGCTCTTTATTGCTTCCCTACTATCCTCAAGTACCCGTGATAAATCCTGGACACTTGGACATGGGTAAGATATTTTGACCCATCATTTTAGGGTAAAGTTATGGAAATTTTTCACAAAGAGTTGAGTGCCTGAGTCAAACACTTGAACACATACTCTTGATGGAAGTATCTAAAACTAGCATATTTTCATAGCCTTAAAACATGAAAACAACATTGCAGATTCTGTTACTCCCCTCCTAATGTTATAGAGTACTCCGTATATAACAATACCAAGATGCCATTACTTATGATAAGTTTATAGTGGCACATGATGTTAGATTTTAGTTTTTACCCAATCAGACTCTTCCTTTCGCTCAAATTACTCAAACATGGGTATAAGCATTTCGTTTTGGGCTAATACCATGGAAAAAGTATCAGTACCCGTGTCTGACACAAGTAAATAGTGTCAGAGACAGTACATGTACCTCGGATAAAGTTGCTTAAGACTGTTAGTTCACTATATAAAGCTTAGGCAGCTTAGTGACTGTTAATGAGCAATAATGTGAATTGTGATGAGAGCATCTATGATTTACAAGGGTCCATATCTTCAATGAGTTGTTTTGTTCTAGGACTAGGAGTTCTATGAGGCGGTTGAGTCTGATCATATACTTTCCCGAATTATACTACATTATCAAATCCCCAATATTGAACAAAAAATAATCAGTCCCTTATGAGTTCCGCGTATACACAATCAATAACCAACTAATTTTCCATCCGTGAGCAGATTCGACCTATATGAAGACTGAATTATTTCATCTTCTCACTCAAGGATGAAAGTCTAACTACAATATAGAACTCCACACTTATCAATGACCGTCATCGATACGAACCACACTCTTGACCTAATATCAAAATGTTGTTTGTCTTAAACATAATTGAAATCAAGCAACTAATACACAGGTAGCTCAAAATGCATCATGCAATGTGTAAAATCAGACAAACAGGAAAATTCACAATTACGCAAATGTAGCAACCAAAGTACGAAGAAATTAATTTCCAATTCCAACTTTCCCATACTCATTTAGTTTGACATAATTAATTAATCTAATTCCATGCTAATTAAACAAACCCCTTTAATGAATTATTCATCATGGACATTTTCACCTCTATAAAACTAAAATTAAGCTCAATTATAATCACACCCAGAAAGTAATTATGCAACCAATAGATTCCAGAAATATGTAAAACTACATTAAAAAACGCAGCATCAAGTAATTACAAAGAGCTAAAAAGTTCTGATTTTTTTTTTAAGAATGAAGATAAGGTGTTCGAGAAATTACCTAAGAGAAGAGATGAAATATAATTTGCAGGAGTTGCAGAAAAATTTCTGGAGTATACTCTAAATTTGAGTAATTTCAAAGGGTAATTAAAAGATTGAGCTTCAAGCCATTTTCTGAAATTCTCTTTCTTCTTGTAGACAGCGAAAATGGGGGATTTTTGGCCCTTTTGGGGTTTCTAACAAAACTTAAGTAGTTTCAGCTGTTTGATTTTTTTATCGATATTTTTTTTCAAGTTGTACTTCTTCCGTTCTTCGGGTTGATTATATGGGCTAAAGATTTTATCTGGAGCAATAATTTTTGATGGTTAATTCACTATTGTGTAAATGCATGAGATATTGGAATTATCGTATTATATACAGAGTATCTAGTTTATTGAGTACTCGTATGTGTAAAAAAAAAAATATCTTTATACATACTTCCGCCGTCCTCAATTATTTGCCATATAAAAATATTATAATTACCTAAGTTTTGTTAAATGGAATTAATGAGAGAGAAAAGTGATGAGATCTAAAGTCTTTTCGTGAAAGTAAAATAATGATCTCAAACTCTCATTAAAAACACATAGCAATATCTCAGAACGATTTAAATAGAAATCGTGACAAACAAAAATGAATAAAGAGAGTATTATAAAGTTACTTAAATAGGATAGACATTTGTTTGACTTTTATCAATATGATTTTTGATCCTTCTTTCGCTTTCAATCAAGGTGAAAAAAATACTATCCAACCGTGGCTAATATGCTAAGTCTAATCCATTGGTATGATTTTGAATTTGGATAACTCGAAATCGAGAGGGAAGCTCTAATCACTTGAGCTATCCCTCACTCTCATGATATTGAAAATTTGATTGTAGATAAAATTTTGAAAATTCTAAGTACTTCCATAGTGCATCAAATTGATTGTAATAATTTGATTTTTGAGTTAGCCTATACATATCTTAATATATAACTAATATCATCTATGTTTAGTAGAAAAGTATCAACTCTTAAACTCGTGATCTTAAACTCATAAGGTGAGTTTTTCAGATCACCTCCCTTATCATACAGTGAGATACTTCATAAATAAAAGTAAGGAAATGTTGTCAGATAACACCTTTTAAGTGTAATTTGTTGTGAGAAAACACCTTATAAATTTTTGTTTTTTTTGTGAAAACACACCTAATACTACTTATTTTTTGTATGATAACACCTAAGGTTGGTTTTAGGCGTGTTGACTTGGTTTAACGACGTCGACCACCACGTGTGAGTCACATGCGCCGATTTACCCCCTCCCTTCTAATTTTTTTTTTACCTTTTCTTTCTCTCAAATTCTATTTTCTCTCTCCTCTCAATTTTCTCTATACTCTCAATTACTCCCTCCCCCAGTCCCCCTGATGCTTCTCATCATATACCCCACCATTTGCACCACTTACACACACCATCCTCTGCTCCCCCTAGCTGCTGTTCAAACTAGCCACCAACTCTATCCATCACCAAATGAACACATAGCCATCAACCACCAATCACATCCTCATCACCTTCCATTTCTCCACCCATTCACAGCAGCAACTCACCAACTCGCAACCCGTCACTACCGTCGGACCATCGCAACCAACGTACCATCGGCAACAATCATAATCAGTTGCCCCACCTGCAATGCTCCTACCACGGTCAGCAGCAAAATTGTAGCTAACTGCCGCAACCATATCGATATTACTGCTAGCTTCATTCTATATTAACCCCCAAATCAAAAACCCTAATTCGAATTAAAAAAAAAACCCTAATTAACGATAATTCGTAAAATCAACAAAATTAATGAAATAAGTCTTTAATTAAATCTACTTAAATGCTTCATAATTATGCCAATTGAGTAAATTTGCAGAAATTGGAGCTCAAAATTGGAGTTCACCTTCTTTAAAGGGAAGCAATGGAGTTTGGGTGGAGGAACAGGGGAAATAAAAGGGTTTAATTGGGGAAGAAATTGAGAGGAGAGAGAAAATAAAGTTGGAAGGAGAGAAAGGGTAAAGAGTTGGAAGGAGAGAAAGGGTAAAGAGTTAGAAGGGAGGGGTAAATCGACGCACGTGACTCCCACGTGGTAGTCAATGCCGTTAAACCAAGTCAACAGGTTGGAAACCGCCTTAAAGTGTTATTTGACAAATAATTTCTAGTAATAGGTGTATTTTCATAAAAAAAAATTTATAAGCTATTTTTTCACAACAAATTACTCTTAAAGGTGTTAAATTTCCTAAAAGTATTCTGTAATTCAATTTGTTTACAAAATGGTACTCGTAAGTACGGAGTAGTAAAAAATTAAGCCGAAGACAACACAGCCTTTAACTCCGAGTCTCCGACTCCAGTGTCTCACTCACCTCCCCGGAATCCCACCTCCCTCCAATGCCAAATTCTTCAAGATTCTCAATCTTTCCTCAATTTCAACCCAAATTTCCAAATCCATTTAAACCCTAATTCCCAAATTCTCCCCTAAAATTCCTCAATTTCTCTCTTCCCCAAAAAACCCCATTAAAAATCATGTACATTTCCGATTCCAATCACAACCCCACCCCAATTAACACAACCTCCAAACCCCCTTCATCTCTCGACTTCTCCGACGAAGACCACCACAACGACATGCTCATCGAAGTGGGTCCCACCCACCACCACCACCCCCACCACCCCCAAATCCATGAACCCCACCGTTTACCCGCTTCGGCGACAACACCGTCATCTTCGGGCCCGAAGAAGCGGGCCGAAACTTGGGTTCAAGACGAAACCCGGAATCTAATTAGCTTGAGGAGAGAGATGGATTCTCTGTTCAACACTTCTAAATCAAATAAGCATTTGTGGGAGCAGATTTCGGCCAAAATGAGGGATAGAGGGTTTGATAGGAGTCCTACTATGTGTACTGATAAGTGGAGGAATTTGCTTAAAGAATTTAAGAAAGCCAAGCAGCAAATGGGTAATGCTGCAAATGGGAATGCTAAGATGTTGTGTTATAAGGAAATTGAAGAGATTTTGAGGGATAGAAATCGTTGCGGTTCCAATTCTGCTGGGTATAAAAGCCCTAATCATAATAGTAATGATGGGGTTAATAATCATTCTTCTAAGGTTGATTCTTTCTTGCAATTCTCTGATAAAGGTTTGTGCTTTTTATTTTTGTGGAATTTTCTGTCATTATTAGTTGGGTTTGTTGAGGTGTTAGTTGTTTAGTATATGTGGGTATTGCACTATTTTTAGCTTTGATAATTGTTAAATTTAGTATATTGTTTAGTTCCTGGTGAGAATTTTGCTATTTTGTTGGGTCTTGAATGGTTTTGTTCCATTTGGGGAGTATTTGAATTTTGGGGTTGTTTGTGGCATTGGGTGTTTGGAAATCTTGAAACAGTATATGTGTATCCATGTTTTATTGGTAATTTCACCAAATTGTTGCTTGACTCTTCATGGTGATATTTGCCGATCTTGGCTTCTTGGGTATGGGTGGCTCGAGGAGCTGTTGAAAGCTGATATAAGTCCATAGTGCTATCATAATTTCTTTGACCTTCTCATTCAAAGGATTAGAGACGGTAGATTGTAAAGAAAATGATTTTTGCATTTATCAGGGTGTTGTTTGGTGAGGCGGCTTCAATCTGGATAGGGAATTACATTCTTAGATTGTTCCAATAAAATGAGTATGAAAAATGCTGCTTTTATTTTGCAGAGTTCTTCTATCTTGAAATTTTGTGTGGAGAAAGTCTAAATGGGACATGTAAACTGATAAGAGTTATAGCTCTGAGCCTTCATTTGAACTAGAAGTTTTTTGTGACTACTGAATTGATTGGATTAAATGTGATTATTATGTGGAGAGGGCCTGTGACCAAGAAGACATCAACAGTCAACACTTATAATTCAGTATTATTATTTGTCTATAGAATCAAGATCCTTTAACAACTATTTGTTCAAATGATTATCACATCATTCACATGTTTATCTTTGATCATACATGTTTTTTAGAACCAAGTACTTAGTTTGGCTGATGGAGGTTGATAGTTATTATGCTGAGTACTCTGCCATTTATCCCTCTTCTTGGAGTATAAAGATTAATGAACTGAAACATATGCTATCTGGGTCTTTTATGAATTTGCCGGGGAGCTATTTTAGCGCGCTTGTGTGTGGTGGGATCTGGGATGCATATTTTGATATCAGTGTCATATTTTGAAATCAGTGTTTGTATGCTTTTGCTAGTAACTCCCTAAAAATGTGTATAAAGACCTCTGTAGTATGACCTTGTTCGAAGTTTTCCTGTTGTTTCTACTGTTGCTTTGCTATTCCTTGGCTCCTTGCGCTTCTCAGAAGTCAGTGATGATGGTTCTGAAAAGCAAAGATTATGAAATAGTGTATTTCCTAATGATGCTTTTTATTTATTGTCTTTGTTCAGGTATTGATGATGCTTCTATTCCTTTTGGACCCATTGAAGGTATAACACGTCAAACCCATTTATGGAAATAAGATCGGTATCTTGAATTGTTTTTGGAACATTGTAAGAGCTGAAAACCAATAAAGTATGATAATTATGGTTGGTGAGTAGCACTACTCAAAAAGTGCAGTGTAGATGTTGTAGTTGATTAAAATCCCCTGCTAGGGTTCTACTAAAGTGAGGTGAAAGAGAGATAGTTGATTATAATGTCAAGGTTAAGGGAATAGAAGTGAAACTGCAAGATGTTGATCCATGAAGCAAGATTGCCATGGCTAATACTTTTTGCTTGTCTCACCTTCATATTTCTATTACTTGATCTTCTGATGCAATCATCTATGGCATTTAAGCACATTTTTTTAGTTTCTTTCATCTCTATCATTTGGTAGCTTGTCTAGATCAAGCACGCCGTCTATTTTTTATTAGCTTGCTATCTGATGTATATGCAATTAATTTGTGATAATATCGAGCTCATTTTTAGAGGAAAGGGGACTATGGCACAAGCAGCTTGCTACTCCTCCTAGAGGGTTAATTGTGCTCTGCACTACTTGACATGGTCTCTTCTAAGTTCTAACTGTGAGAAGCATCATCACTAACAGGGGCGGACCCATGAAGGAACAAGGGGGGACCATTGTCCCCCCACTTTCGGGAAAAAAAAACAAAGGAAAAAAAAATTTAGGAAAAAAAATAAAATTGGAAAAATAGTTGTATAAAATTGAGTGTAAGAATAAACAAGTTGTTTGCCTTAGCTAAGTTGGTAGTGGGCTAAAAATAGTCAAGGGGCCCAATTTCAGGTTTACCTAGATCAGGGTTCGAATCCCCCTTGTAAAATCATTCATTTTTTAATTTATCGGATTTCGTCCATAAATCCGATAGGGGCGTACCATGTCTACGTGTCACCATATTATTGGATTTTGTTTTTTTTAATTTTTTAATTTATATATTTTATTACCCAATAATATGGTGACACGTGGACATGATAGACC